GAAAGGCAGTTCTTGGTTCTATTCCATACCTAGTACAGAACTTACTTTTTGTCACTCTTCACCAAACACACACAATGCAAAGCCTGGAGGAAAGACTGATGCATGGCACCAAGGCTCAGACTGACCTGCCTAGCAGCAGCTCAACAAGTCAGTACGTCTTATTTTTGCGGTTTCTATGTGCTCCAGGCTGTCAGCTCGCATTAAAAAAAATAAAAGGTGAGGCCCAATTTTTCAAAAGAGCTCAAGGATGGATTTGTAAATTCTCAGCAACCACAATTGGAGCCAGATTTTCAGAAAAGCTCCACTCTAATTTAGGAACTGAAGTGAAATCCTGACCATTTTGAAGTTAATAGGAGTTTTGCCATTGACTTCTATGGGTCCAGGTTTTCATTCATCTCAGGTTTTTCAGAAATGCTTTCCACCCAGCAGCTCCTATTGTGACACTGACTAGATTTTTCTGAGAAACTCAGTAGCTAATGTGCTGAGCTCTTTTGAAAATCTGGCCCCAGTTGTGAGTGCTGAGTCCTTTTGAAAATCTGGCCCTAAATCTCTAGCCTTTATGGTTGTGAAGAAAAATGTGTAAATAGTGTCAATGAAGTGGTGATGGCCGCAGAGTCTGAAACAAAAGCTCATTCTTCTCAGTGAAGTGTTAACTCAGAAGCCTAAGGAGAATGATTTCATGTCAACATGGTTAACTATTTCACTGATCAAAGAATATCAGAATGGAGAAGGGTGATCATATCATGAGGATCTGCACAGTCTACTTTGACATCATGTCATGGCACCACAAGTGAGTGATGCTTCAATAACTGCAGCCGCTTATGCTTCCCCCTTAATCTGACCTGTTGAATCAACAAGCCAAAGGAGCACCCAAGTCCTGCCCAGGGAGACCTGAAATCCAGGATGATATCTGAGCCTCCATGAGGGGGAGACAGGCTTGAGAAGCCAAACAGAGCCCATCAGCTCTTTGAACCCTATGGGTGGTGCGCCAAGTCCAAGAAGTACTATGAACATCTGCCTAACCTCTTGGAAGCTGATTCTCATTTTGATATCTCATGTGCTGGAGTTTGAAAAAGTGCCACTGTTTTCTCCCTACCCCCAATTCAGCACCTGTGTTGCACTCAAAAGAAGCACAATTTTTTTTTCATATCCAATACTGGGATTCTCAAGTTCATGCCAAATACAAATATATTGCTAACCCCAAGTGCCCAAAAATCACGAGACTGTCTTAAAATCACGAGATCTTTAAAAATAATAACTTTTGGAATTTTTCTGTGTCTTCTAGTTTTTGAACCTGTAGGGGGTCACATTTTCAAGCTTTTCTCTGCAACCATGTAGGTTAGATGTGTAATGTTAACACAGAAATTAAAGCTGAAATTCCCCCCAATCACAGGATTCCAGAAGCTGGGGCTTTCTGGAAAACACTAAATATTGCTAGACTCATGGTAAAACAACAAAAGTTGGCAACACAGGAAAGGCACTGTTTAGCTGGCATATTTCATAACCTCATTTTTAAAGAAAGTATTACTATCAAAATGTTGTGCAAAAGCCATTCTTAAAAATTCAGATTTACAGCAAGTTTACTAATCTGAACATCTACTTTTACTTGGGTTAGCATAGATGCGCCCATCTCCACACGCACACAAGGCTAGAGTTCATACTGTAACTTTGCAAGGCATGCTATACCACTATTGAGCTTTGTTCTGAGAAGACATGCATTAATTAGCACTTGTATAGTGCTTTATATCTTGGACATGTTTCATATTCATCATCCAAAAAACAGCTGTCCAAGACATTTGGGTGATTATTACCACTTCCCAAATGGAGAAAATGAAGCTACAGAGGGGATGAGAGGAAAGATATTATTGTGGTTTAAGGCATAGGTATGGCAATCCATGTAAAGTGGACTTTATTCCTGGGTCTGCAGTGATCTTATTGTGCAATCTTGGGGACACCTTTTAGCTTCTTTACACTTCAATTTCCCCATCTGTACATTTCTGGCTTCTTTCAGTTCAAACTGAAAGTGAAAAGACAGGCAGGCAGTCATATGTGCAAAGAGTAGGAAGAGAAGCCTGAACAGCTTTGTGCTTTTGAGATCCTTAGATGTGGGGTGCTATACTTGATAGTTGCAAAGTCTTGTGTTTATTGCACGTCTGATGTAAATAGTGTTGCCAGATTTTTTTCCCCGTTACTTTGGGGTATGCTCATTTATTAGGGTTACTCTTCTTGGGGGGGAGGGATCTGTAATTCTTTCAATGTGCTGCTTGTGTCACTTGTGTTTTCATATGGAGCTCTAATTTTCCCTTCTGCAAGTCCCCTCCCAATGGAGCTATCTTGCAGGACCTAGGTTCCCTAGGGCTGGGTTCCTCCAGCCCCAGAATCAGATGAACACGAACACACATACACATAATATATATAATTAAGAGCAAGTCTGAGTGTACTGGGTCAATCAGCACTTTCAAGCTGACCCCTTATATATCCCTGGCCTCAATAGGCTGGGCCAAGCAGCACTTCCAAGCTGCCTCCCTTATATGCCACAGGTTCAGCATGTCCGGGCATCCCTATCCTCACTTTCACGTCACAATTGTTGTGGTAGTAACTCACTTGATGAGCAAACCCCACAGTATTTTTGGGCACTACAGAGATCTTTAGCTTAGGTAAGAGAAGTGTTGCTGCAGAGTGAATGGGGAAGCTAAAACCACAAAAGAGTAAAGCTCAGTGAGGGAAGCAACCAGCTAATCATAAAAGTTATTAATTGAATAATAGTAATAACCACATAAGGAGAGCCTAAACAACCGTAACAGTTACATTATTAAAGGTTACAAAAGTCATATATAGAAAACTGTACCTGCCTGAGGTAGAAAAGAAAACAGAGAGAGAGAGAGAGAGAGCTGGGATCTCACGAATCCATGAAGCTTGAACTGGTCGGGGTTCCCAAGTGATGGTGGTAGCTCAGGGTCCTGAGTGCAGGAGACAGGCAGAGCCCCCAGCATGATCAGTCAGGAGAAGATGAAATCCCAGTGGGACTGATCCAGAGTTTGGATCCAGGCATTAGAGCACTTCCTTGAGCGTGGGTAGAGATTTTTGTAGGGAAACAACAATGGTTCAAGGGAGAACACTAGATTTGCTTATGGGTAAACTGATGACTCAAGGGTTTTCTTTAGGCTAGACAATAGAAGCTGATTACTCTTGGCTATGGGTAGTGTTCCTTCCAGGGAGCTCACAATAAAATTAGGCAGCGTCAGTATTTTGGATATCAATCAAGCAGGGCCGGCTCTAACAATCAAGAGCGCCACCCTGCCATAACACCCTCCCCCCCAAGCGCCATGCTGCGCCACCAAAACACCCCCCTTGAGCGCCGCGCCGCTGAAACACCCCCCCAAGTGCCGTGCCGCCGAAACACCCTCCCCCCCTGAGTGCCGCACCGCTGAAACACACCCCCTCCGAGCACCACGCCACGCAACTAAAACAAAAACAACCCACCCACACACCCCCGAGCGCCGCCCGGCCGAAACAAAAATAACAACAACAAAACCCTCGAGCGCTGCCACGCAAAAAAAAAAAACCATCCCAAGCACCTCCCGCCACGCCAAGATTCGCCGCCCCTTACAGGGTGCTGCCCCAAGCACATCCTTGGTCAGCTGGTGCCTGGAGCCAGCTCTGCAATCAAGGATTCATTACTAGAATTGATCTGCTAACTGCTGAGCTGGGTGTGTGCAGGTGTAGGTTCATTAACATCTGGAGCCAAGATCCCCCAGGATGCAGTGCTTCCCTGCTCCCAGAGTTCAGTGCGGTTCTTGCCTTGGAATCTCTGCTCTCCATTCTGTATGCTAATGGAGATGCCTCCCTGTCCCATCTTTGGTGCAAATGAGGCTAGGGGAGTTGCGTTAATCCTATCACCCTTGTCAGGAGGGGTCTAGGTGAGTCTCCCACCGTCCTTCACTGCTTTTAGCAAGTCTTTTCTCTGATCGGTTTTGGTTCAAGCAGAGGCTGGGGGGGGGGTCCCTTCATGAGTCAGACAGGCTGGATACTGTGCCCTGGTTTCCCCAAGAACACAGAGCTGACTGGTATCAATAGTCTTTACTCCTCTAATATTATTTCTCTTTAGAGATTTTCATAGTTGTGTTCCCCTTGAGCTAAATGCCCTTGAGCTCATGTCTTTGAGCTAAATACATCAACTTAAATTAATTTTTCTTCAGTTTCAAGTGCCTGTATCACTCTGGTTGTCTTTCCCTGAAGTTTGAGTTTTTAATATTTCCCAGTTTAAAAAGTGGAGACCAGATCAGTGTAGAGTGCCCTTCTCACTCTCCCTCCTCAGGGTAGGACCTGAAAAATCCGTGTGAAATTAAATAATGTATTAGAGGTGCTGCTGGTAGTCATTCTAGTTGAGGTTGCTAACCCAGTCCACTATACGACCATATTTTCAGTTGCTCATAAGGTTGAACTTTAACCATTGAAGCTGAACTTTTCCATGTCAGGTGTCTGCCTTAGGCTCAATTATTTTTGGAGCAAAAATGATTAAACCGTTTTTGAGAACAAAGTTAGGGGAAAATATGTTTTGCCCATGTTAAATATAAGTGTGCGTGTATGTGTATAAAAATAAATAATGACATACTGTTTTTAAAGAGTGCTCTATCAAACAGCCTTTATAAATTGATTTATTTCAAAATATTCCTAAATTGACAAGGTTAAGTGCAGATTTATATAGCACTCTTTAGATCCCCGTGGATGGAAAGCATACAGAACTGCAACTATCAAATACGGGGGTGGGGTGGGGGGGACAACCAAACCAAACCCTCCCACTCCTTATGTGCAATGGAAAGTCAAAGGCAGCACATAAAGTGTAACCTGTGGGTTTACATCCGGGGGGAAGGAAGTGCCTGCCCTTGGTTGATTGTGTAAATAAAGACTGAGAGGATGGAATGAAGGAGCAGCTTCCAGCGATGCCAAAGACCAGACGTTTAACACACACACCAGGCACTGGATCGCATTTCAACTTACTGACTTTGTGGAGTCAAAAGTTCTCCTGCTTTTAAAGTTCCCAGTGTGGCTGCTTTTCTGTCTCCCTCTCTCCCCCTTCTCTCGCTCTTAAAAAATGCATCAGTCTCTTCCCCCAACCCCGGTCTTGTGTGTGTGATTCTCTCGTGTTTCCACTACTAACGTGCTGCTGCTGCCGTCTCTTTTTTGTAGCGGAAACGAGTGGTGTGGCTGAAATGACGTACAGGACAAGGGTTACTTTGTACGTCTCCTCTCCTGGAGAGACAGACAACGGGACAGTCATTCAGTCCACCCTCCCTTCCTCTTGGAGCATTAGTTAGCTTAGCCTTAGCAAGAAGGAGAGGAGACTGAGCCAGGGAGGGTGAGAGAATCAGGAAAAAAAAGAGCTCTCTCCTCCCAACACAGGAGGAGGAGGAAGAGAACCAGAGGCCAAACAAAACAGTGAGAGAGTTGAAGGAAACCTCCTCCCCTTCTGGGAAAAGGAAAGTGAAGAGTGAGTAGGCTTTGAGGATGATAACTTAGTGCAGAGCAGGGAGGGGCAGCCAGTCCTTTCTCTCCCAGGCTCTGCCAGGTGCCCCCATTGCAGAAGTGCTCACGTCTGTCTGGTGTGTTTGGGAAGGGGGACAGGAGAGATGGCACAGGATGCTGAAGGGGGTGAGGATGCGCCCCAGGTGCTGAAGGAAGAGGAGAAGGAGAGGAAGAACAGGAGGCGAAGCAAGAGGAAGAAGGAGAGCAAGACACGGACTGTGCGCTCTAACCTGCTGCTACCTGGGCCTGAGGCGGAGAAGCCCCAAAGGAGCCCCCTGGCCAACAATCGCCTCAAGACCACCAAGTACACGGCTCTGTCCTTCCTGCCCAAGAACCTCTTTGAACAGTTTCACCGCCTGGCCAATGTCTACTTCGTCTTCATTGCGCTGCTCAACTTCGTGCCGGCGGTGAATGCCTTCCAGCCTGTGCTGGCCTTGGCCCCTGTGCTCTTCATCCTGGCTGTCACTGCCATCAAGGACTTGTGGGAGGATTACAGCCGCTACCGCTCTGACAATGAGATTAACCACATGGAGTGTCTGGTCTACTGCAGGTGAGGGAGCATGCTGTGTGCATGGGGTGGAGGGTGGGAGACTGGCAGAGACATGGGGGGAGCATTATGGCAACTGGTTTCAATGGAAAGACTGAGATGGGGGCACATAAGAAGGGCGGGGGCATGTTGAGGGGTTGATATCACCAAACAGGGATTTGTCTCTTCCCCCATGTGCTTGCTGCTATGAAATGTGGGAGAGGGTCTAGAGGGATTGTATTTTTGACCATATTTGTACAGCGCCTAGCACAAGGGGGTCCCTCCCAGCCCATAATTAGGGCTCCTAGGTGCTACAGTATTATAATGAGAGTTGGGGAGTGAGCAGGTGACATGCTCCGAAGTGTTTCCATTTACAACACTAAACTCAGCTTAATGAAAACACGCTGTTATTCACATCTTTGGTATTTATCCCATGAACCCAGTTTACTGTCCTCTTATCCAGAAGTTTTGACATTCCCAAAGCATTTGAGATAAGCTGTGCTTGCAAACAGAAACATTCTAATTCATTCGGATGACTGGGAATCCCACAGTGAATTACGGACTTGTGAGAGTTAGTGAGTAAGCAAAGTTTTTTGTTTTTGTTTTTTAAAAAAAAGGCTTATGCAGCATCACAAAATGAACTTCATTCATTTACCAGACAAGTATTATTTGATTTGTAAGCATTTGTAAGAATACTTCATCGTGTAAGTGGTCAATTCTACTGCAGTATACTTGCTAACAGGGATTTAGTTTTAGTAACATGAAACCACACTCAAGCAATGTGCTATTAAATCTTTGCTGAGCAGAGGGTAGAGGCCTCAGGTTTCTCTGTTTGAATTATGGGGGGTGTGGGTTAGTGAAGTGTGAATTGGTGGGGTTCTGCTGTGTTTGCTTTTCTAAAGAATGTGAGGTGGGGGCATCATTCGACATTTGCTTTTCAAAAGCCCATCATTTATCATCAGAAGTGTCATCATGCACTGTGAATTTGCTACCTCCTGGTGCTGAGAGAGGAGTTTTCGTCCATTTGTTTTTTCTCTCTTTGAAATGAATTTTTACATGTGATCAGAGCTACACTGATTTACACCAACCGAGGATCTAGCCCTTAGAGTTTTTAGCAGTTCCTTTTTAAAGCATCATTGGTTATTTACCCAATCGTAACTGAGGCTGAGATTTTTTGGGAAGCCAGGGGTGTGGGGCGGGAGGGTGGTCTTATGCACCAGTTTCCAAGAGAGCTGGTTTTGCTGATCCTTCTGCTGCTATTACAGTACAGGTAGTAAAGCGAGGCAGGAATGTGAAACATGTGTTAAGAAGTTTATGTTGTCTCTTCCTGGTTGGGTGGTGAGGGGGTCCTGACTGAGACAGGCATTCCAGCAGACAGCAGCAACTCTCTCATTACAAGTCAGAACAGACTAAGTCAGAAATACTTGCAGTAGGCTTTATTTTTAGTCTTCAGCAAATTCTGTCTTTCATTTCCCAGTCTCATATCACATCAAGAAATCTCAACCTAATTTTTTCCCCTCCCATAGTTATGCTTGTGTGGGAAAGATAGTAAAAGGGTTTTATTTCAGTTGGCTAAAACTGTAATAACTAAACCAAGGCAAAGCACATGCAAACAAGTAACACTTGTTTAGGACCACATTCTGACACCCCAACTCATGTGGAACAGATTTAAAATTTTTATTAAAGCTAATGTTAAAAAAATTATATAATACATAGGTTGAGAAAAGAGTGTCTGTACAGCTGGGTATAGTGCTTAGATTATCCACAAATACAAATTTTGTTTTTAAGGTCATATGATAGAGTACATAATCAGCAATATCCCAATTTAAGGTGAATAGATTTAACAATACAGTTTAGATCAGGGATCAGCAACCTTTGGCCCGCGGCCCACCAGGATAAGCCCCCTGGCGGGCCGGGCTGGTTTGTTTAGCTGCCGCGTCCGCAGGTGCGGCCGATCACGGCTCCCACTGGCCGCAGTTCGCCGTTCCAGGCCAATGGGGGTTGCGAGAAGCCACGGCCAGCACATCCCTCGGCCCGCGCCACTTCCCGCAGCCCCCATTGGCCTGGGACGGCAAACCACGGACAGTGGGAGCCACGATTGGCCGAACCTGTGAACGCGGCAGGTTAACAAACTGGCCCAGTCCACCAGGGGGCTTACCCTGGTGGGCCGCAGGCCGAAGATTGCCGATCTCTGGTTTAGATATTAGAATCCGAATACTCGGTTACATCACACATGAAAAGTTGTACAGAGATTTGATTGTGAAAAACAAAATATAACAATGAGTGGAGATTGTCCCTCAGTAATTGAGAATTAGGTATGTTGTCCATTTAGAAAATACAATCCATGAGGAAAGTATTTAAGTTATTTTCCTGTACCTTATTCTGAGCAGTTCCAAAATCTATCTGCTAGTAAATAGGAATAAAATAGAAACATGTAATCTAGACCCCAAAGTTAAAAATTAAAAAACTACATGTTGTAGAAGCCATTCAAAAGCCTTAATAATAATTCTGGGCTGGCTTTCCCCACCAAAACTTTTCTTTTTGAACTGCAACTAAATGGTTAAAAGTGACCATTAGAAAATGTGTACTTTCACTGTCATTTTCAGATTGATATTGAAGCTCGTTGAGATTCACAGCTAAGCGTTTAATGTGTTGTACTTTGTTCTAGTTTTTTTCGGGCCCCCCAGCAAGGGCGGACCGGCTAACCAGGGCCGACAAGAAGGGGTGGGGGAAGTGGGGCCCCGGGCCCCCTTCCCAACCGCCAGGCCCAGTAATTTGTACCGGCTTTCCCGCTGCCCCTGACCATACTGTCGAAATGGAGCCACCTTTGGGGGAGACAGCAGCAGACAACTAGCTCCCAAAATATTCAAGAGCCAGAGGCCGGGATTTTCCCCCGAGGAGTTGTAAGGAAAACCATTTATTTTCTGCTAAGTACCATAGGCCCCTTAATGTCCATGCAGAACAGACTGGCCCTTGCTTTCTAATTGTTTAACATTTCTTTTCAGATGAAGATGGAAGTCAGTTCTTACATTACCTAGACTCGTTCATCTATGGTCACTGTGTTGCTTTACTCATGGCTACAGTATCGATTCCTTATTTGAGCATAAATTGCAAAACTGAAATTTAATGATAGGCAGGATATTGACAAAAGTAGTAACCTCAGTAAGAGGCTTTCAGTAATAAATATACAAATAGACCTTTCCCGTATCTGTACATCACAGAATAGGATAGGAAGGGTTGATATTACACCAATAAGCAAGATGCGAAAAAAGTTGTGGTAGGGGCTATACCTTTCTCCTCCTACCTCCCCACAACAATGGGAACTCTGATGACCACTCCTTATAAAGTTATTATTGCAGTGTGAATTCAGACATCAGTCGAATGACGTTTGGCAATGCCCTATAGCAATAGAAAAAAATGCAGATTGCACACTGAAACGTTTTCTCAGACTAATTCCAAGATACACACATTGCTGCTGTTTTTAAATATTTGGCAACACCAAGTGTGGGCTGGGAGTGCATGTCTTAAAAGCTCTTCTAGGCAGAGGTCTTGTTTTCAGTATATTCTTGCAAAGCACGATATGCATTCACATGCTGTATAAATAGAAAATTAATATGAATAACATTGGCACTCATCCTATATGGCAGTGTTTCCCAAACTTGGGATGCTGCTTGTGTAAGGAAAGCCCCTGGCGGGCCGGGTCGGTTTGTTTACCTGCCCCGTCCGCAGGTTCGGCCGATTGCAGCTCCCACTGGCTGCATTTCGCTGCTCCAGGCCAATGGGAGCTGCTGGAAGTGGCACGGGCCGAGGGACGTACTGGCCGCCACTTCCAGCAGCTCCCATTGGCCTGGAGCAGCGAAACGTGGCCAGTGGGAGCTGTAATCGGCCGGGCCTGCGGGCGGCCGGGAAAAAAACCCGCCCAGCCC